GCCATCAGCCTCCTCTGAAATCCCCGTGCTTTTCCCTCTCCTTCCCCTCGGGATGCAGCAGTTGCAGGGGAGCTGCTGTGGTCTGCCCTGAAGGCAGCTGCGTGTGAATTGCTGGCGAGATATTGTTTGTCAACCACAGCGGGCTCCTTCCAGCTCAAGGCACTGCAAAAAGCCGTCCTATCTGATATAGGAAGGGGAAGGAATGCGTATGGGAAAAATACATTCCTGTGTGCGCGTCGCCCTTCCCCCTGGGATGAGGTGCCAAGATTAACGAAACGTTGGGGTTGGATGCAAAGGTGTGCAGAAAGTGTTCGGCCTCTCTGGAAACGAAAAGATAAAAGGCTACGAGCACGAGGAGAGCGGGAAGGAAGACAGATCCAGGCTGTGTCCTGTAGGACAGCTTGGGCAAGGAGCATCCCGTGTGGAAGGGGGTGGCTCTGGTGCCCTGCTCCTGCTCGGACAGCGGTGGGGAGAGCGGGGCTGTGCGGGTGGTGGGTGATGAGCAGCATGCGCTGCTGGGGGTGAAAAGAAATCAACTTTGTGGATGCTGAAAAGAAGCAACGGGGGGAGGAAAACGGGGTGGGGTGGGTGGTGGGAAGGACAGGGACTTGTGCACGGACTCGTGTGGCTCAGCGGGGCAGCTTCCCCAGCTGCTGCCCTGCTTCTCCTTCCCAGAGGTTAGGGGTTTTGTCCCGGAGCGGGGCTGCTCTGGCAGCAGCAGCACACCCAGTACCTGCGGCAGGTCCTGCGTGGCCCTGCGGAGCTGCCCTCCCGCAGCACTTGGGCAGGTGGGAGAAAGGGCCGGTTGGTGTTAAAGAGGAAGGAAACGATTCAAACCCATGCAAATCAGTTAGCAGGAAGCCCGCAGTCATCACCTGCCACCTCGGTGCCAGGGCACGAGGCCGGGGAGGTGCCTCGGGGGGCAGTGTCCCCCAGGATATCCCGGTGCCAAACCGGGAGGGAACCCGAAGCAGCTGGGCGGGGGCTCCCCAAACCCTTCTGCTTCCTCTCCCCCCGGTGTGGGGTCGGTGAGCGGAGGGCCGCCACCCCCCGGCTTCACCTCTGGCACCGCGGAGAGGCCGGTGGGGGGCTGCCAGAGCCGCCCGCGATGTCCTTCACGTCCCGGGCCGGGCACTGCGTGGTGCCGGGGGGGTGCGGGTCCCGGTGCCGGTGCCGGTGCCGGTGCCACCCCATCCCGGCGCTCCCCGCCCCGCGGCCCCGTTCTCTCGCCCGCCCTCCCTCCCTGACGTGTGGCGCTGGCAGCCCGGCCGGTTCCGCATTCCCGACCCCTCCCCGCAGCCCAGGGGCCGCTATATAACCGGGGCTGATGCAACCCACCCCGCCGCCCGCCACAGCCCGCGGGAGGCGCGCACCGGGGCGGCGGGGGGCGGCCGGGGCGGCCCGGCGGGGACCGGCAGCGACAGCGACACCGACAGCGACCGGGGGCGGCGGAGCCGAGCCGAGCCCAGCCGAGCCGGGCGGCGGCGGCGGGGCTGAACCCGCAGCCCGCTGCCGGGCCCCGCGGGCATCCCGGCGGCCCCCTCCCCGTGCACGGTGGGTGCGGGCACGGCGGAGCCGGGAGGGAAGCGGGGGTGGCCGGGGGGAGAGCGGGGAGCGGCTGCCGGGGTGGCCGCGGGGCGCTCGGGGCGCTCGGAGCGCGGGGATGGGGCCCCCGGGCGCGGATCGGAGCCCCCCGCTGCTTTTTGGGGGTGCGGGGAGGAGCCGAGCTCCACCTGCCCGTGGGGTGTGCGGCTGGGGGGCTGCGGGGGGCCCCGCTCGCGGTGCGGGGTCCTGGGGTGCTCGGGAAGAGAGGGGCACCCCCGGGACCCCCCGGGACCCCCCGGGATCCCTGCCGCCCCGTCCCGAGCCCGCTGGGGCAGCCGGGCGTGGGGTTGAGTGGAAGTTGTGTTCTTCTGCACGGCTTGCTCCGGGAGGCACTTTGCTTTGCTTTTTTTTCCGTGGTAGGGAAATAGGGTTGGGAGCAAATTGGGGGAAAGGGAGAAATAGCAGGAGAGCGAGAGCCACATTATGTTTCCATTTTCCTTTAATGAAGGCCCTGTGGAGGTGTATTTGAAAACACAGGGTCTCCTATGCCTTCAAGGAGGGTGAGAACACTGCGCTGGCTGCTTCCAGGGCCATATGCAGCGTATGGTGGCCAATGAAACGGGGCCTGGCTCGTTCTCTTGCTTGTCTTGGCAGCCTCCTTCATGGCTTGTATTACCAGCCCTGGAACACAACCACTGCCAAACTGTGTGTGTGTGCGCGTGTGTTTGGACTCCGAGAGCTTGGCAGAAACAAATGCTTCAGCAGCTCGGAGCAGGATTTTTTAGCTGGTTTCAGGAGAACTCGCAGGAAAAACTCGATCTGGAGGCCGCTGCCAGAGTCCGCGCGGGGAATCTGGTGGTTACCGCTTCCACGGGGACATCTGGGAATGCCAATGGTTGGAGTTCACATCCTCGGTATGACTCCTGGTGATTCAAAAAGGGAAGAAAAAAAACCTGCCCATCTGGGGGACGAGTGGGTGGGTGCTGGAGCTGCCATCCGAGCCGTCCTTGTGTCAGGCCGCGACTGGCTGCCGTGCTCCTCGGGTCTCTGCGATTTCCCGGGGTGGCCAGGAGCTCATGGCAGGTTGCTGCTCCCTCCTGCTTACAGCTGAGCACGTCCCTCCTTACAGGGTGCCAAGGTCTCGGCTGTGGCCCTGGCCGAGGAGGAGGAGGAGGAGGAGGAGGAGGAGGTATCCCCTCCACCTCAGCAGCGTGCCCAGCCGGGCTGTTGGAGAGCAGGCAGCGCTGAGCATCCGCCGGGTGCTCTCCTTCCCCATGCTGGTGTCTGCAACTTTGTCTGCTCCACCTGGGCCAGGTAGCGGGCAGCACGCAGTGTCTTGAGAGCCTGAAGCTGCCCAGAAGCTCTTTTTGCTGCAGTGGGCCGTGCCCCGTCGACCTGGCCCCAGGACCAAGCCGTGGTGTGTGGCAGCCTGCACGTGTCCTGCAGTGCCCGTGTGGCAAGGAGCAGGCACAGCAAGCCTGCTGCCATCTGCCTTTGGCTGCTTGTGTGGGTTTCTCCATTGCATGGACTGCCCAGAGCGTCAGTCCAAACCCTGCAGGCTATTTAGCGTGCAGCCTGGGAGCCGAAGGTCTGTATGGGCCTCTCAGCTGAGCGGGGCTGCTGCAAGCCAGCCAGAGCTGGTCTTTATATGGCTTAGGGGTCTCTGTGGATGACCCTGGCATCCAGGGCACAATTCTGAGGAGTTTGTAGGGGGGCCTCTCATCTCTGAGGCCACCCTTGCCCCTGAGGTTGGAGCTGTGTGCCAGGGGAGGGCTGTCTTCTTGAAGAAGATTCCAGCCCTGACCACATGCGGCCGTGGAAGGTCCTGGGGGATTTCAACAAGTCAGTTGTTAACCTCAGTGCCTGAGCTGCAGCCTAGCTCAGAGCAGCACACTCCCTCCTCCCCACGGCCATCTGAACTGCTGTGGGTCGGAACAAGGTCTCTTCTACCTCCCTGTTGTGTGCTGCCGTCCGTGGAGCGGTGCCGCGTTATTAAATGTCTGCCACGCTCCATGCCAAAGCCGTAATTAATGGCAACCTCCTCGTGCAGGAGCTGCGAGGAGCCTTGGCTGTGCTGGGTGCTGTGCGAGCCCCTGCTGGTCCAGGTCGCTTGAAGGTGCTGCATTGCAGTGGTAGGGGCAGCGTGGTGCTCAACTGGAGCTGTTTGCTGCCCGGCCAAGGTACGGAGGAAAACGCTGGAGGAAGGAGGAGGATTGAGCTGGCTGCTTTGCTGATGGCAAAGAGGGGGTTATTGCTAAAGTTGAGGACTGGTTTCTTGCCTTCTCATAATGGGAATAAGAAGCCAAAGCAGCAGACAGGCAGATGTGTGGGGGCTGCACGCGTGCCCCGGTGAGATGCCAGCTCTGGGCTGCCCCTTGGGTGCAGTGTCAGGAGCTGGGTGCCTCCCTGGGGGAGGAGAGGAGGGAGGCAGCAGGGCTCTCCGTGTTCCTGCTCTCAGAAAGCTCCTCACAGTCTTCTCCCTGTGAGCAATTCGGGCGTTCTTCTGCCATCTGTGTGAAACCAGACATCCAGACTGCGCCAGGCTGCTCCCACTCAAGAAAACAGTCTAGATTTCCACCTCCTGAGGATCTCCTCCTCCAGAGCTCCTTCCTCCTCTTCCATAGCTCCTTCCTCTCTTCAGCATGGTGGTCCGCTTGGTGGAGCTGAGGGATCCGGGCTGGGACACTACATGGAAGGGTGCTCACAAACCCTGCAGCTCTTTGTCCACCACGTTGCCCGTGGGAGAGAAGGAACAGGAGGGGCAGCTGGGGGTGTCTGTGGGAAGGGTTCGTCTTTGCCCTGGGTTGCAGGAGCTGGCTGCAAACCTCCCGGGATGGAAGTGGAGTGGCAGTAGTGAGGCCCCATGGTGGCTGCCATATGGAGGTGGCGCGCTGCAGCTCGGCACACCTGGTAAGCCACGCTGTGAGACCTTAAACTGGTCTTTAGACAGGGAGCAACCTCCCCAGATGCCTTGTAGCACTCACTAAGCAGTCCTACCTCCTTGCTGAAGGGGGGCCATGCGGAGTTTAATCCCGGTGGGTGTCACTGCGGCGCCTCAGCGCACCGCGGGTGCTGGGCTGTGCACCCACGGGCTCAGCAGATGAATGAATAAACGCACAGCGCCTGTTAAAGTCCATGTTTGCCAGCGCTGCTGCACGGGTGTCTGAAGGACAGGTTAGAACCAAAGGGCTTGGCTGTTGCTGTGTTTTGATGGTTGGCAAATAACTTTGATACGGATCGGTGTGGCCTTTGGCACTGGAAGTAACTGCTTTTAAAAATGCAGAGCAGAAGAAGGGAGGTTACAGGGTGACCTGCTGTAAGGAGCTCCTTCCAACGAGGTGCATCTGGCGTTCAGAGCTGGTGGCTGCTGCCCGGGAGTGGGAGCATATCACATTCTAGAAAACGGGAAAAAAAGGTAATTGCGTGTTCAGGTACTTTTGGCACTGGGCATATGAGGTGTGGCTTTGTGCCGTCAGCGTGGTGGCGTTAACGCGGCGCTCACGGGGTGCTGAACTGAACCTTGACGTGGAAAAGTGTTTGTGGGCTCCACTGGCCCTCAGCCCCCTGCAGCCCCCCAACCAGAAAAGTCCAGATGGGGAAAAAGCAAGTGGCTCCGTGCTTCAGAAAACAAGTGATAGCCAATTGCCCTGTCTTTGTTTAGAAAGTTACATTCTTGAGGCATGAGAAGTCGGGCATGTCAGGAAAGGGCTTTCATATAAATCATCCTTCTGCCAATGAGAAGGAACTGGAAAGATGCGGTGTAGAGCATACAGACTGAGCAAACTTGATAGCCAGGAGCTAAAAGGAAAAGTTTAAAAAAAAGGATGGGAAAGCCATAGTAAATTCCAAGGGACCACAATTTGCTTCTCCTGGATGGCAGTGTTACTTCTGATCTCCAGAGCAGAATTCTTGCTTGTTGGCCGTGAACGGATGAAGGGCTGACTTAGAGCCCAGGGCTCCAGGACTGCACGAACAAATGGCAGCAGTATGCTGAGTGCTAACGTACTGATGAAGAGATCAAAGATAGCTCGTACAGGAGGTTGCAGGCTTTGGCAGCGCTCCGACGCATGGCAGCTGGCAAGTAATGGCAGGCACCCAGGTCGGGCCTGGCGTGGCAGAACAACAGGCAGGCAGGGCCTTGGTTCTGCTGGCAGCGTGGAGAAGGGCTGCTGGGACAGACTGCCTTATGGCACTGCTTGTTAGCCTGGAAAAAAGAGGAAGAGGCTGATATTTACAGTGGCAAACCCCCCCGGCTGGCAGGAGGTGCCAGCCTGGCTCTCTGAGCATGGGAAGGGTGCTGGGGTCAACCACTGCAGATGTCAGAGCGTGTGGCAGAGCTTGTGCTGGAAGAGACCGTGATTTATAGCCAGCACTTTAACCAGAAACTGAAAATAGGGTTGTAAACAGCTCCCACTCTCACCAAGGAAGCTGACAGCACAGATAAGGCAGCAATGGCAATTTAAGGTGAAGTGACGGGTGTCTGTCAGAAAGCTGCTTTGGTCTTCGCTGTAGGATGGTGCTGTCGACAAAGCAGCAACTGCTTCTGGCTTATAAAGAAGCAAACCGTGCGCTTGGCTAGGTGAGGATGCACAGGATGCTCCCGGGGGAGTAGCAGATACAGACTAAGTCAGCTTCTGCACAGGGAAATGAATGTGTGACTTCAGCACAGGTAGGCATTCCTCTGCTGGTTTTAGGCTGTGGGTAAGAATAGCACTGAAGAGGTGGCAGGAGGGGCATGAATGTAGGCTAGCAACCAGAATACAAGCCCCCAGGGACCCTGGGCTACGTGGATTATGCCTACGCACGTTAGATTTATGCAGTAACTGCTGCGCAAACATCAGCTACCTCAGAAAAAGGAAAAAAACAAAAAAACAACAAACTCAGAGTCCCCAGAAAAAGCAACAGAAGTCGGTATGGAAAACAAAACAACAACAAAACCACAAGGAAATAAAGACTTAAAGTGTAAGAAAAAGAACAGAAGCATATGCAGGGACAGTGAAGCTGAGCAAATGTGTGGGTCAGTAACAGCTCGGTAAAGCTTCTTCCCACTGGCTCCTGAAAGGAACAGACCCCAGCAACAGGAGAAAAACAAGGAGAGCTTCGTGCTGCCTTTAATAAAACATTAAGTGAGCCAGTGTCACAGACCGTTGACCATAAAGACGTGGTTGGGGGACAAAGGACAGAACCACTCGTCGCTGCTGTGAAAAATGCAGCAAAAAGGTGAGAAAAGGAAGCTGTACTGTTGTCAGCTTTTTGGAGATGAGGCTGCAGATAAAATAACTGAGCTTGCCAGCAGACTGCAGGTCTGAGACCTGCAGTTCCAGAGCGAGGATGCAAAAGGGACTGCAATAATTAGGAGGGTTTACAGACATTTTGGCAAAAGGTCAAGTCGTGTGTTCCAGTGCTTACCCAGAACAAGGGGAGGGTAGGAGCAAAGCTGAAGAAGTACAAACTGAGTTTTGACCCATGAAATCACGTGTTGACCAGATTTTTGCTGTAAGGTTAGTTGCTACGGAGAGCATTGAATGACACAAGCTGTGCATCGCCGAGCTGAAGTTTTAAGAAAGCCTCCTCTGTCTCATAATTCACTGTGGAGCATCTTGAGATGTTGTGGCACAAAATGATGAATAGCATCAGTGCAGAACGCACAGCTACAAGGAATGTAAACTGGAGCAGCTGGCGTCATGCAGATACCAGTGTCAGATGGAAGACTACACATTCTCTTTCCCCTCGCTGCTTTGCTTTGCTGTTGGCTTCGTTATGTGAAGAAGCGTAGCTGATACAATGCAGGAATTGTGTGGTTGTGCAGTAGGACACCAGAAAGCAAGGTTTTACTGAGGATGCAACTTCTTTCAGCTCATGTAAGGAGCCATTGAAAGACCGCCTGGCACTGAGGAGAAAAAAAAAAGTTTGTGTTAATAACCAGTTATGAAAAGAACAAATCTAATAAGAGTCCCAGCTAAAGCACGGTGTTAGAAAGCGAAGGAATCAGAGGTGAGCTGGTTCACGTTCCCTAGAAATAACAAACACTGCAAGGGAAAATGCAGGGAGGAATTACGAACTGGCAATGCACCAGCTGTATTCACCACTGCCAGCAAGATCTGGCTATTGAAAAGCTGCAACTTAAAGGTCAAACTCAGATCTTGCACCTCAAAGTTATTTCTGTCCTAACATGCAAATGTGGTAGAAATATGCTGGAGCTCTAGGCAGGCATGTTGGTGTCTTCCAGAGTAACAGCCTCAGGAATAAGGCCAAATATTAAATAAAATTACATCTTTGGGCATTTTTAACGTGATCGAAGTACAACTTCTTACCTGTAATGTTATGCAGGGAAATAGGTGAAAGTATTTGGGACTTGGGTACCTGGGAACAGAAGTAGTTGGAGGTGAGAGTCCCTGCGATCAGCAGCGATGGTGCCTGCGGCTGTGGTGCTTCAGGGCCTGGGCTGGATTAATGCTCACTGCACCCTGCTCTGAGGGGGGTGGCATCTCTCCTCATTCCCTCGTTTTTGCGGTTACAGCTCTGCTGGAAATGGTTTACATTCCTCTCCAAGGTCTAACACAGCTTGACTCTTGGCAGTTCTTGGTGTGCTCCTCAGCTTCCTGACCCCTGCGCAGGACCTCATTTGGAGGAGCCTTCCTTCTCGCCCAGTTCTCAGCTCCTCCTAATGTGCAGGCTCACGTTCTGCCAGGTGCCTCCTTGTGCTTTGGTTTGAACAGCTTTAGAATTAATTTAAACTGATGCACGTGTGTTGTGGGCTTTGCCTCATGGAGTAACTGGGCTCAGGATAAGTTGCTCAGGCAGCAAAATAGGTACTGGGCCAGCTCCTTCACTCAGGCTCCTTCAAGGCACATCAAGCCACTAGACCAAAGATGCAGAGGGAAAGGGTGGACCAGACAGAGCATAACACTTTCTCAAATCCTTAGCAAGCTTTCCCTGGGGAGCTGCTCAGAGCTGGAGTGCAGGGTGGCACTCGGTGCTCAGGTAGTCCCATAGCCTGAAAGAAAAAAACAATCTCCCTCCTTATTTCATAAATTATATTGACCATGAATTCTCTGTAGCTGAAGACCTGGAATGTCCAGCCTGGCATGTAGATACTCTTGCTGTCATGATGTAAAACAATTAATTAAAACCGGGTTCCCTAAGATGAGAATGAATTTAAGCATCCAGCAGTGGGCTCGAGTCAGGTCTCAGCCTGAACCATAGCAAAGGGTGGGCCAAGGCCCCAGATAAGTGTGTGCCAGCACAGCTCACAGCATTTGCAGGAAGGAGGCTTCAGGGTGTTCATATACCTCTGCCACAGAGTCCTAGTTTTTCATTATGTCCAAACTTTTCCAAGCTGGAGGTGGGCGTCCATAGGACTGCTGCTGGGGGTGTGCAGGAGCTGGCCCTGGCCGTGCTGCTGTTGGTGGGCCTCTTCCCAGTGCCACCGTGTGTCACCGTACTGGTGGTGGCTGGGAACGGGCTCGTGATGCAGTGCATGTAGTTATCCCCAAACAGCAGTGAGATAACCCCGCTGCTATGTCCTGTGGCAATGTGTCTGGGGAAGGTGTCCCCCGCTTTGCTGTGTCACCTCACTGACCAGGTGCTGCCCTGTGGAGAGGGACAGTTTCCGAGGAAGATGGGAGGGATTTAGGCAATGCCTGCGGGTGTTTTTGGAACTGGAGCGCAGCCTAGGGCAGGACGGTGCCTGGTTTCTGGGTATCTTTGCTGCATGAGGCCTGGATGGCAGGGAAGGGAGGTGGCAGCTTCAGAGCACTGCTGGCACCGCAACGTGGAGTTACAGCTGTCCGCTTTGGGGAGTGCTCTGGAGGAATAAATGCTTCGGATTGTTTCAGGGCTCTGCAGTCCCAGGGAGTTGACATGTGGTCAAACGTCACTACCAAATTTTTTATTGTCAGACGGGCAGGAGTCTGTTTCATCAGGTAGCATCACTTCCCTTCAGAAGTCACCCAGCTCTCCTCTCTTGCCCATCGGCTCCTTCTCAGGCTGCTACATCCTTGTGCGGATCATCTCCCCCCAGCCCAGCATCCTCCCCCTGCATACCAGCACTGGGAGCGCTGCCTTGCCCTCCCCTTTCTCGTCTCTCCTCCTGAAAGATGACCACAGCAGAGGGCTTGCTTCCTGCTCACTGCGTGCCACTGCCTCTGTACGGTCATGGTGGTGCTGCATTTGCTTTCCATGCTCTTTCTCAAGTCCTGTTGGTTACCGCTGCTCTCTGCCGAGCACACTCTGCCTTGGGACAGCTCGCAGTGACACCTGGGTCTCGGTGGAAGGTTAGAGTGTATGGCTGCTTGCAGGATATTGCAGTTCATAGGTGCTCTCTGATCCAAATCCCTTGGTCTGTCACAGCAGGCCGCCCTGCACAGCACTCGTGCTGGGAGCCGTGCAGCTTTTGTTTGCCTCTCTGGTCTGGACTAACCTGTATGAGTGGCTTTCCTTCCCCCTCACTGCTCATCTGTTCCCTGACATTAACTAGTACATCAAATAGCCTCCTGGGCAGAGAGACGTGCCAGTGCCAAGAAGTCCTTGCCTTCTCTGCTTGTCGTGGTTAAGACTTTGACTTGCACTTGCTGACCTGCGTGAGCAGGGGGTTGGACGAGGTGACCTCTAGAGGTCCCTGTGCGACTCAGCGATCCGTCACTCCTGTCCCACACTCACTGCGCACGTTCGCAGCCTGGTGGTGACAGATCTGCCACCTGGGGTGGCTAGTGCTGGGCAGCTGTGGCAGCTGCCTTGTTAATGTGTGTGTGCCTGCATTTAGCACAGCTGTACTGCGTCAACCAAAAGCCTGCATCACCCCTTGCCCTGTTTCTCAGCGTCCAAGCGTGGCTGCTTGGGAAGGAGCAGGGCGAGCGCACCTCACCCTTCCCTCATGCATCTTCTGGCTCCAGCAGTGGGTGCTGCCAGCTTGCAGCCCCTCTCCCCTTTGGGGTGCCTCCTGACACAGGTTGGGATGGGGTGGCTGTCCCCAGGCTCCCCGTGTGGCTGTGCTTGGGGTGGGGGAACGGTGGCTGCGTGGACAGCAGGTGGCTGCGTGTCGTAACTGGGTCACCAGAGTGTCCCGGGCCTGTTACGCAAGCAGAGACAGGCTTAGGTGGTAGCCAAGCAGCCACCTGCTCCCTCTGCCTTTTGGCTGATAGCACAGCTCCAGCTCTACAGGCTTCTCAATTTAGGTCTAATTTTATTTCTGTATCTCTTAGCCAGTTGTTCTGCACATTTCCTGGTAACTCCCTTTCTTCTGCCTATGAGTGACTTGCCAAAGCTTGTCCCAATCCTACTTCTCTATCAAGCTCCAATTTTTTTTTTTTTCTCTCCTGATAGAAGAAGCCTTTTGCACATTGCTCCGCTTCCCCTCCCCTCCAGCCTTTGTTTCCTCGTGTTTGTGCTGGGCTGATGTTTGCTCAGCGGCAGGTTTCTCCCTCAGCAGCTTTTCATTGTTTTATCCTCGGTCCCCGTGCGCTGTGCCCCGACCCCGGTCAGCAGGCTCAGCCTGCCCAGCCGGCAGCCAGCCCGCGGCACGGTGCGGTCCCCACAATGCTGGTTTCTTCTCGGCCTAATACCTACGCATTAATCAAAAGGCAGTAAGAGCAAAACCTTGATCTTCGGCACTCCAGACAAAGGTGTGCCAAGACCAACAGCCCGTGGGACCACATCACTGTTGATCCTCTAAGTCCCTGCACCAAGCTCCTGTTTTTCAGGTGCTCTGCCTCTCAGGTCTCTTCTTCTTCCTCATCTACAGGCCAGTAGCGTGTCCTTCCTAGCAGGATTTGTATATTTTGGTCTCTGCCACCCAACTTGTGCTCATTCCTTGCCTTTGCCATCCCTGGGGGAGAGCAGCAGCTTTCCCTGGGCCTGTGGAGCCGGCTGGGTTCGTGCCACGTTGGAAGCGGGGAGGTAACAGGGCCGTGTCTCTCTCCCTGCAGCCCGCGGAGCCGTGTCCCCTGCTATGATGCCAGGGCAGATCCCCGACCCGTCGCTGACGGCCGGCGCGCTGCCTGGGCTCGGCCCCTTGACGGGACTGCCTGGCACCGCCCTGACCGCCGAGGAGCTGAAGTACGCCGACATCCGCAACATCGGGGCCATGATCTCGCCGCTCCACTTCCTGGAGGTGAAGCTTGGGAAGAGGCCCCAGCCCGTGAAAAGTGAGGTGAGGCTGGGGGCTGCTGCCTGCGGGCGGCCCCAGCAGACGGGCAGGGGCTGCTCCCCAGGGGTGCCTGCCGCTGCCCAGGTCGCTCTGTGGGGCTCCTGGGGAAGGGGTGGTGGGCGGCTGCTGCTCGGTCCCATGGGCTGTCATGTCACAACTGTGTTGCAGGGGCTTGGGAGACACTTGCACAGCGTTTTCCTTGTGTGCTTGCGTCGTGTTGTGTCTGGCTCTTTCAGCCTTGCTGTGCTGGTGCTGCTTGTGTCAACCAGTGCCAGCAAATGGAGCTGGAAGTCCATCAGTGTGAGGCCCCAAAGTGGTGACAGTGGTGGCTTCGGTCAGGACTGTTTGGTAAACAGTCCCTCCATGGGCAGTGCAGTTATGAGTTGGCATCTAAAGCCAAATGTGCCCCAAGCTCCTGGTCTGCTACTTCTATAGCAGCTTGATCTGCAGGGAAATGTAGGAGGAAAGACGAGGGGAGCCCCACCAGCAGCCCCCAGATGGCTGCCTCCCCTTGTAGCCTCTTCCTCCCCTGCACGGCCCGTGGAGCCAAGGAGCTGAGGATGGCAAATGGAGCTGCCCCTGGCACAGGCTTTGCAGCAAAAGCCTGGGAGAGCCGAAGCAGTAGCTGCTTATTCCGTGAGTAGCCAAGAAGCAACCCACGCGTAATTTTGCAATGCAGCCTGCAGCTGCTCTCCTCTTGCAGGGAGATGGAGCCCGGGGAGGCTGGGTGCTGACATGCCATGCTCAGTGCAGAGCTGGGGAAAAGGCAGCTTTTTGCCCTGGCACAGGGGTGTTTGTCCGTGGCAGTGCACAGAAAGCCCATGTATGGGGTGGTGGATGCACCATTACCATCCCTTGTGCCTGTAACAGAGCTGAGTCCTAACCCCCAGCACCAGGGGGCCATGTCGCCTTTTTGAACTGAAGCAGAGGCAGGAAGGAGAAAAGCTCCTTTCTTGAAGTGGCAGGAGCTGTAGGACAACAAAAAGCAGAGCCGAGAGTTCAGGCTGCTCTATCTGTGCTGAGCCACTCTCCCTGAGCATCTGTAGGTCCCATCTAAAGGGCACGGCCCTTCGCTGGCCCCAGTGGGTGTAGGGGAAGCTGAAGGGGACAGGGAAGGGACACTTACTCTTTGATCCCTAATAGATAGAGCAACTAGGCGTGGAAATGTGTCAGGCAGTTCGCAGGCAGACAGTGGGGCTGGTGCTCTCACTGTTCTTCCAGGAAAAGGCAGCAGAGCACGGAGTTAGAGCCTGCCTGGTCGCTTCTGCAGATGCCCATCACAGTGTAGTGAGAGCTGGAAGCTTCTGGTGGGACATGGGGGCATCAGCACAGATCCCATCCTGGTTTTCCTAAGCATAGTGCTGCTGTGGCAGAGGGCTGGCTGCAGCCTGGCACTGTGGGAAGTCTGTGCGTAGCTTGTGCTGCCTTTGCTTGATATTTTACTCCCATCTAAAATGGCAAATTTGGTAAAATGCTTGGGAAATAACAGAGAATATGCAAAAGCTGTTAGTGCTATAAAGCTTGGATATTGTCCTTTGGAGATTAGACATGCAGCTTACTTAATTCTGCCCAGTTAGCATTTCCTTCTGTCCTGGCACATCACGTCGAGATGTTTTGATTAGAGGAATTTTGATTCTGTAAATCAAAATCCCCACACCCACCACCACTTCATGCCCATGGTGTTGGAGACCTCTTGGCTCCTTATGAGGTCCCTAAGTCAGGTGTGAGAGCAGTGAGGCTGTTCAGATGACGTGTGCTGCGAGAGGCTCATCTGGGAGATATGTCCCTCAATCCCGCTGGCTTGGGGAAGTATGAAGGGAAGGATGTGGCTGCCTTGGCAGGCTGGAGTTGCTCTTGAAGAAGGTAGAAGTAGACTGTGGAAATGATCATAAAGTAAAAGTGGCTGCCACTGTATTTGAAAAGATGTATGCTGTCAGCTGCCAACTGACAGGAACAAGGCAGTTCAGTCTGACATCTCAGAGTCCCAGGCCGAATGCTCATGGTTATTGTTTGTGGGTCTTAAAGGCCCAAAGGGTCTTTTCTCCACTGCTGTGCTGCAAGGTGTCACCTGGATGCTGAGTTTATGAAGATTTCTAGCACTCGCAGTTCTCTGGAGAAGGAACTGGTTTGGGTTCTCGGCTGTGAGCGTGCCACAGGCCACTTACACAGACTTTTCCCTAAGTACTTTGATTATGGGTTTCCAGCCCATAGGGCTTATTAGCCTGGTGTGTGCGGTTTGAATCAGATAGCAGGGAGTGACTGAGTCATGGCAAACAGCACCAGCACTGCTGTGTCCCGTGTCCTTATCGGAGATGCACCCCACTGTCCCCACCTTCTGGGGTGACCTGGTGGCTTGGCCCCCATGTTGAAGGCACATCAACGTTAGAGGCTGTGGCAGCGACACGTTTGGTCCCTTGTAAGGGTTGGACCACGTCACTGGTGACCACTGGTGAGGGCGGCAGCGGGGCTGCCAGGGGCTGCCAACCTCCTCCACTTGATGGCTCTGACCTGGGCTTCTCCGTCTTGTTGCAGCTTGATGAGGAAGAGGAGAGGAGGAAAAGGCGCCGGGAGAAAAACAAGGTAGCAGCAGCGCGATGTCGTAACAAGAAGAAGGAGAGGACAGAGTTCCTGCAGCGGGTGGGTGCCCTGACCTGGAGGTGGGCTCTGGGCCTGGGGGAAAGAGGGCTCTGATGGTCTGCCGGTGTCTGTGCTGGAGCAGGAGCACCCTTGGGAATGTGGCCCAGGACAGGGGCCTTCTGCCCAGATTCCTGGAGGTTTCCCCACTCAGAGGCCAGGTTCCCTCTGGCTGTGACCCCAAGGCAGAAGAACACTCCCACTGCCTGACTGCTTTTCTCTAAGGGCTGGTGGGATGCAGGCAAAGGACACAGCTGGGACAAGGAGCCATTTCACAAAGGCAGCTCCTTGCTGATGGGGGACGAACCTTTCAAAATTTAAAAATGCAGGTTTGTTTCCTGGTGCCCTTCCAGCCCATGGAAAGCAGCCAGGCAGGGTGTTCACTGCCCTGGGAGCTGGCTGTGGGTTGGGTAGGAACTGCCCGGGGGAACCTGGTGTCTTAGCATGTCCTCAGGCTGCTCCTGTGCAGCACGGGCTGAGGAGCAGCACTGAGCAGAGGTGGCTTGTTGGCCAAATATTTATTGTATCTGTTCCGTTGAAGCAGTCGCATGCAGTTGTGTTTCTGCCCTGTTAGGAGTCGGAGCGTCTGGAGCTCATGAACGCGGAGCTGAAGGCCCAGATAGAAGAGCTGAAACAAGAGAGGCAGCAGCTGATCCTGATGCTCAACCGGCACCGTCCGACCTGCATTGTGCGGACAGACAGCATCAAGACACCTGAGAGCGAAGCTAACCCACTGCTGGAGCAGCTAGAGAAGAAGTGAAGGTGGCACTGGGCCAGGAGGAGGAGACAGTGGCGCAGGGTCTTCCAGGGTCTCTAACGTATGTACTGTATGAAGAACTGTGCACCGAGGCCTGGTGCATCCAGGACCCAGTGGGCTTCCTTGGGAACTATGGACCAAACAAATTTTGGGGGCAGAGAAGATTGGGAACCTGTCAACCGTCTACTCTGAGGCTGAACCCGGGAGCAGGGCTAGCGGCGCGGGCGAGGGCAACCTCTCTGTGATACCTCATCGCGGCCCTTCGGCCTGCTCGCGGCCCCGCGGCCCCACGGCACGGCAGCACGTCCTGCGAGGAGGAGGAGGAGGAGGAGGAGAGGAGGAGGCACGGGAGGAGCTCCTGCTTCACCCTCTCTCTTTCCCACAGCCCCTCAGCGTGCCGGGGAGGAGCGGGGCCTGCAGGCGGCAGGGACGGCGGCGGAGCGGAGCCTGCAGCACTCCCGTCCCGCCGCGTGCCGGAGCCATCCCCGGAGGCTGCCGCCGCTCCTGGCGCACACTCCACACGAAAACCCCAACCGAAGAACCGCAAACACTTGACGCGGCCCCGTCTGGTGGGCAGGCCTGTCGGGGCTCGGTGGCGCAGGCGCCCCCCACGAGCACACTCTCAGTATAATGTTTACAGCCCAGCTGTCCGCGTCGGCCGTGCTTTTGAATGCACATTTTTACACTTTTTTTTTTTTTTTAAGATATTTTTTACAAAGTTTTTATACAGCGATCTCTATATGGATTTATATAATCACTAGATGTGATCCCATAGAAATGTATGTTATGATGGTCTGTTTGTTACAAATGCATATGCCACAGTTATCTCCATTGTGTTACTTGTCCGGCGGCGTCCGGCTCCTTCCCCCAGCACGCTGGGGAGGGGGTCCAGCAGCCCTCCGCAGGGCCGTCGCTGCCGTCTCCATCCATGTATGTCCTTCATAATACTCAGTTCTGTATCTCTCAGTAAATGTTACCTTTACATACACTGTCCTCCTGTGCTTTGTCTGGGCCAGGCTGTGGTGGGCTCGGCATCGTGGCAGCAGCTGCTGGGTTTCTGGCTGTGCTGGGTGTCCTCTGGCTGAGCACGATGAGGAAGCTGATCCCAGAACTGTTGCAGTGTTGGGATGGTGGTGATCCCTTTCATGGAAGATGGTAGAAGACCTCTGGGCCTCCGCTGGGTTCCAGCCCTGCCCCTGACTGATGTTTTGGGAAAGCCAACCCCTGCCCTGGGCATCAGCCAGTGCCAGCATGGGGATGGGTTCAGCAGATGCTCAGCCAGGTGGTGGTGAGGTGCTAGGACTAAAGGGGTTGCTGGCACTGAAAGGACATCCCCACATGTACAACCAAGCCCTGTCCCTACATTGGTGTGTTTCTGAGCCCTACAGCCACAGGCAGCAGGAAGGTACCTCAGTGTGGACTGGGGCAGGCCCCGTCTCACCCATGGGACACCGCTGGGCGGTGGTGACCCACATGTCTCATGGGGCAGTGGTGAACCCAGTCATCTCCCAGCCTGGTGTCATACCCAGTGCGGATGAAGTGACTTCGATGCAACTGGTGAGTGAAAGAAGCTTTCCGTGTCTGGTACGGATGCACATTCCAGCCACTAACACTGATGTGGTGGTGGGGACAGGATGAGTTTGCCCTAAATGTGGTAATAGCATGGGAGGAGGTCTTTCCTGAGCATGACTGTTTCTCAAACGCATGTTTATCTCTGCAGGCTCTCTTCTACCCCCTAACCTCCAGTGATATATTACATTGGTTCTTTGCCTGTCCCATACTTTCTTCCTGGATTTCCCCTCCCCTTCTATAACTTCTGTCTTAACATGCTTTTTGCTCGCCTGGACAGCCCGTGTGCTCATCCTCACGTGGAGACTCCCACCTACCCACCACACACCTCCAGCAGCCCTGGCAGTGCCGTGGGTGCAGGCCCTACTCTGGCAAACAGCCACCCTGCAGTAAAACTGCCTGCTATGAGAACAGCTGGCTTCAAAGAGAAGTGTAAGATGCCCTCTGAAACCAAGCGCACCAGAAGCAGCCAGCAAAGGCAACAGCAGTGTAGTGGTGGATCCTGGAGCTGGCGGTGGGGCTCTCTGGATGCTGCTGATGGCTCGGCCGTGCCAGGGAGGGCTGGGAGAATCCAACCCCTCTCAGAGGGGCTGTGGAGGTTGCCGACAGCTAAGAGACTGAATGAAGTCCAAGAAATTTGGGCAGAATCTCTGTCATGCCACAAGGAGGTGAGATGAGTGGCTGCTGCACGGGGCTCTGCAGTTCTACATCAGCTCTTTGGGGGCACAGCTTGTATTATTTAAGTTTTTTCTTGTCACTTTTCCCTCATTAGGAATAGAGACCACCGGGGATGTGCATGCAGCCCCGTCTGTGCCTGCACCTTGGAGGAGCCCAGCACTTGCCAGTGCCAGTGTGGTGCTCCCGAACCCAACGCACAACGGTGGTGACGTCCTCCCAGCCGCATCCCTCGGTGCACAAGGGATAATGCTGGGGGACTTACTCACAAAGGCCACGTCTCAAAGGCCACCCACCCACCCACTAGCAGGGCGGATGGCACCTAGGGGCCTGTGCCAGCGCTGCCGGAGGCCGTGGGCCTCCCTCCTGGTGGCCTCTTGGGTGCTGCCACCAGCAGGAGGAGCTGCACGGCCACAGCACCAGCACACCTCTGCTCCTGGGGGGCCTTGGCCATGCTGCATGCAAGGTGTGCCCACCTTGCCCAGTGCCAGCAGGAGCTGTTCCCAGGGCATGACTCCAGATTTTGTCTGAAGCCCAGGTGGATGAACCCGGCCATGTTTCCTGCCTCCCTCTCCCTGGTGCCCCATGGCAAAGCCTCTCTCGCCTCTTCCCCTGCCTACAGGGGAAGGTGGGTGTTGCTCTGACCCAGCGCATCAGGCCTGAGGCAGTGCTGGGGTGATGGGCTGGGGGTTGCTCTGAGTGCTTCGCACCCTCTGCCTGCCTCCTTTCTTCTCCTGGGCAGCAGAACCCCAGTTTCCCAAGTCCTGCAAGCCCATCAGCTTCTCACCCCTCTCTCTTGCAACCATCCCAGGACAACTGAGCAGCCCAAAGCTTGCTCACGGCTCCCTTCCCTTCCTCCTCCTCTTGCCCTCTCCCCATCCCCTTCTCTGGCACCCCTGCCTGCAGGGCTTTCTCCTGCCAAGGGCATCCAGCCCCTTACCACTCCTTGGGCAGAGCAGGCTCGCAGGCCATTACTTTGCAGTTTTCGATAGCATCGCTCTCATCCTGTGTTTGAAAAACACCTCCTCTGCCCATCTTGGCAGGACCGGAGGGTGATTCCGTGACATGCGGTAAGTGTTATCAGCTGACCTTTGGCAGTGACCTGCCACTCTAGTTTCATTATGAGCCAAGGCCACCAGGTATTCACTTATCTTTCTCTCTATTGGCTCTTCTATTCATCTTGCTGGAAAACAACCTCTGAAAATCCCCAGCCTTGCTATTTACCAAGAGCCACGGAAATTGCTTTCATGATCAGGGGTGCCAGCGTGCTCTGAGTGGCACCAGCACAGCCCGTGGCTGGCAGCAGGACCGGCAGCCGGGAAAGGCTCAAGCGCCACCAGGATGGCTGCAGAGCAATGAGAAAACCCTCCTGCTGCTTCCCCAGGCCTGGAAATACGGCCTGGCTCTCCACTGCCTTTGGGCATTTGTTTCCCCATCTTTGGCTTCTCCAGGAGCAAGGGGACGGTCCCAGCCCTGCCAGAGGGAGCACCCGTGATGTACCAGCCAGGCGCTGCTTCCAGAAGCCTGTGTGGCTCGAAGCAAAAGCACACGTTGGGTCTGTGTGACAGCGAGGTTTCGCTGCCGCCTGTCACGTCTCAGATGAAGCTTCAGGAACGGATCCTTTGCCAGTAACCACCACCTTGCGCTGATGTTATCTAGTTTCTGCAGAATGAACTTGCTGAGTTGTCATCTGTGGCGCTGTCAGGGGAAGTCCTGACTCCTGACGCTGCAGTTCCTGTGGCTGCTCCGCCAGCACCCCAATTCCAGCAGCACCTCCAGGCCAGGCAGAGCCACTGGAAATCTGCTGGAGCAGGTGAGGCCGGGGCAAACGAGGCTTTGACACAGGCCCGTGGGCTCCCAGAGCCAGTGGAGCCTCTGGGCAGGCTAACGCCAGCCTGGTTGCTGCCAACATCTCGCTGTGAGGTGCTGATAAATGCTGTAGGCCAGTGAAATTGTGCTGGAGCAAGTCTGTGGGCATCGGTGGGTGTCTCACGGTGTGTGGATGAGGTGGCCTGCCACACAGGCAAGCCCTGTGGGTGCCAGGCAGAGTCACTGCCATGATTATGTAGTCACCTACCGAGTGAGGCATCCCTCTCCTTCGGTGGAGGCCTTCCCTGTTACCAAAGTGACCCAATGCGTGCATCTCTTCTAGCCCACAGCCGTTGCATGTTTCTGAATGAGCCAGGGTGCCAAGGTCTGCAGCAGCGAGGTGGCTTAGATGTGGCTTCATGCCACACCACCAGCTTGCCAGCTGATGTGCACAGGGCTTTAGGAGCAGCGCTGGGTGCCACCGTGCTGGGCTTGGCCACCTGGGATGCACCATTGGCACTTCTCTCTGCCCAACAGCCTCCACGTGCTGGGGCTGCTCGGTGGCTGGGCACTGGTGGCTTGCAGCTCAGTGAGAGCATGAAAGGGTGCCAGGCTGTGCTCCAAATTCAGTGGATGCCCACCTGGCTGCACAGCAGTGGGGAAGAGGAAAGGTGCCTGAGGAATGGGATGGAAGAGCCCATCTGTCCTGTAGAAAGAATGGGATGGAAGAGAACCTCTGTCCTGCCAGTGTAGATGGCTGTGGGACACCTCGCCTCGGGTCTCGTGTTTGCTTCTGGTTGCCCCACTGTGAAAACGGGAGACCTCCAAAGATGGGTGCTGACCTAAATCAGGGGTGTAGCGAAATTTCCCTATGCGGAGACTAAAAGTCCCAGCAGTTTAGAGTGGAAACTAGTGAAATGCCGTGTGATAGAGAGGTACAGAGCAATGCCTGGCTTAGAGATAAGTCTGTTCCTCTGCTCACCCCCTCACAAGATGTTCAAAGAAATGGAAAGACAACTCATTTCAAGCTGGCAAACTGACACGCTTTTTACAGAGCAACGAACTGCTTTGCACAGGTGGACAAGGTGCCTGCCGGCCAGCCACTACAGAGGGCTCACGAAGGACAAGGTGCTCGTGGAAAACAAGGATGCTCACAGCTCAGGTCAAAGGCTTTGACTAAAAACATTTGGAAAATGGCATGGCTCTTGGAATAGCATGGCTCTGGAATTCAGGGGAAGGTGGTTCTGCCTTTTCCTGTCCCCTCTTTGAAGCCGTTGTTGGGGTTGTTGGGGGCATCAAGGGCCCCTTGTGCCAGGGCCTCCTGGCACCACTGCGGGCAGGGCTGAGGCTGTGGCCCCTCTTCCTTGTCCCACCTCCCAGGCACTGCTGGGGATGAGGCCCTGATAAATGGGGACAGAAAGGGAGAAATGGCGTATCTGGCCCCCTAAGCCAAACGCGAAGCAGCTGCTGTTGGGCTGGGAGCAGGCTACGAGCAGTTGTGCTGTTCGCAGCCATCCCCTGCTGAGAGGGGTGGCTTGAGTCTATCTGCAGGGACATGCCCTGAGGAAGCTGTGCCCAGTCCTTGGGAGGGCTGGACATATCTTAAGGTGACGGGTGGCATTGATGAACGCTTTTCTCTGAATTAAGTCATGCAGCAGCCAAGTAATACATTCAAGAGCCGTGCATTAATTTGGGAGATGAGCAATGTGTTCACCCCTCTGCCCCCACACCACGGGGCATGGCAGCAGGGCCCAGTGAGCATCAGACACCCCTCAGGCTGCGGCCATCCCATGGGAGCAAAATGTTGGCTGTTTGGTTGCTGTGGCTGGACACGCTACAGCACAAGCACAGGTCCAAGTCGAGGTCCTGCTGTCCCAGCAGCGGGGAAGGCCTGCTGGGCTCGTGTGGCCTGGAAACACACGAAGGAAGCTGGGGCTGCAGCCCCCTGCCAGCACCGGTAAGCGTGCCCCTGGGTGGATCAGCCATTCTGGTTAAACGGGTCACTGCCCTTCCTCTTTGGGCCTTCCCCATCATCGCCAAACGAGACTGCCACCGAGATGAGTCAAACCGTCAGACAACATCTGCGGCCCTGCAGTCCATGCGCTTGGATAGTTCTGCCGGCCCCGTGCAGCAGAGGCAGAGAAGCCCTGCTCCACCAGCAGCGTCTGCACGTGAGGCCTTTCGCAGCTCCCGGGGGGCTCATCCAGCCAGGCTGGGCAGTGGGGTCTGCTCCTGGCCAGAAATGGGCCAGGGGCTGTGAAGGAGGCTATGGGAGAGTGGTCGGCCTTGGCTTCTCACTACTCTGCCAGGCTTCGGGATCTGCTGGCCTGGGGAGTTGGGTACACGTACACCTGAGCTTGCTCCTGAGCTGCTAAGCCCTGCCAGGGACTGATTAGAGGTTGCTCAATTAATTACCCAACCTGATGGTATGTACAGGATGGCAGACTGTGGCTGACCCCCTCAGCAGCCTGGGGCGAACACCAATTATCTGTGTCTTGAGCCTGAGGCTCTGCCAGCAGCCCTCCCCCCCACACTGGGAGCACACTGGGAGTTTACTTTCCGTAGTTTGCTTCTTTTAACACATAGACAGCGACACGCCAGAAGAGAACTAATGACATTTAAAAAAATAATAATCATGAAAGTGTCATAGATGAGTACTGAAGAGCTAGAAATTGCCAGAAATGGCTTTGCCTGAGCAACCTAGTGTCAGATACCTTGCACATAAAATCACCTCCTGCTTTTTGCCTTGGATGGCCACCTCTTTATCCCCCAGGCTGGACCACAGCCAGAGGGAATGAAAAGCTGGCGCACTGGGCTGCCTCTTTTCTTACCAGGGCTGAGAAACTGCTACCAGGCAAGAAAGCAATGGCCTGTAGAAAGAAAGAAGGTTTCCTGGGCAGGCCCTTAGTGCCTCCCTGGAGAGCCGCATCTGCCTCAAAGTAACTCGGTGAGCTGCACAAGTGAGTCTTTCACAGGAGCAGCCACTTGTTCCTCATTTGCCAGGTCTGGGTTACAGAAGAGCTAAAAGGTTGCACCTGCAGTCGCAGACATTGGGAGCTGGGGGTTGGTTAAACGAATTACTCTATAGAGCCAAAAACACTGAAGAATTAGATTCTAGTTGGTTAAAATGGTGTGTCTAAAATTAAAGAGTACTAATGACCTAAATCCCTCTTTGTCTTGTGTTTCATGGTGGTGAAACAGGGATAACTCTACCCCCTCACCTGGAAAGGTGGCTGAGAAAACCATTTCATTAGCAGTGCTGAAGCACTCAGATGCCGGAGTGATGGACCCTAGAAAGGGTCTGTGGAGAAATGGAAAAGCAGGATGTCAAAGCAGGATCTGACCCCAGGACAGTGAGAAAGGTAATGCAGCAATGCCAGGGAAGGAACCTTTGTGGATCATGGAGTTGTGGAGCCCAGCATGATATAAATAGCCCTGGGGATGGAGACAAGCTCTCCTGCCAGCTGGGAAAGCCACCTGTGGTGCAGAGAGGACCAATGTGTGCTACCAGAAGGGGATGCAGCAGGATCTTGTCTGGTAGGGAGTGAGGACTTCATTCAGCATCACCATTCACTCCGCATCTCTTATCAGCACTGTATCCTACACGAGTCTTTGAACTCATATGGGGAATGATATGCAAATTGTTGCGATTGTCCAAATATTGTGAGAAAGTATTTGCATGAAATGTTACACACGAAGCAGAAGCAACCTCGGTGGTTTACAAGAGGCTGAAGTCAACAGCTTCTCTAGGCTGGATTTTTAAATAGCACTATTCACTAAATGGTCATGCAAAAAAGGTGAGTGAGCGGGATGAGGTGAGCTGCAGTTCGAACGCTGCTGTTGAAGCCTGCAGCAGGTTTATGAGGAAGCTGCAGCTGCCGCTTTCTCTCCTGTGTGCACAGGCAGGATGCAGGGACTGCCTACAGTTAAGACCTGACTCTCTTAGCAGCTTTATTTATTTATTTATTCATTTTTAACAGGTCTCCTTATTTAAACCCTGGGAATGCCTCTCTAACCCATCGTACAGAGGCAGGATTAAACCTGGACCATTTCTGACAGAGGTTTGTTCCTTGCTGCTTCACGCGAAGGGGACGGGATAACTTTCCTGAACAGCCCATCCCAAGGCCTTCCTAACCCTTAACCTGTTTCAAACCTCTGACCTGAATCTTCCTTGCTGCTGTTGAAGCCCGGTTTGGCTGCACAGAAAACAGCTGACCACTCTTTCCATTACAACATGTCAAAGACGGCTCCTTCCTCCCCCGCCCCCTGCCCGCCCCCAGGACTTCTCTTTTCTAGGCTAAACAGAGCCAGCAGCGTCTTCACTCCTTCCTCTTAGCACAGGATTTCGGTGTGTTCACCCCTGGTATTGTTTTCCTCTGGGCTTTTCTGCTCCAGGGCTTGGGAGGAGCTGTCGCCCCCTCGCATCCTGCACCCCCAGATGTGATCTGTGATGCTCTGCAACCCCCGGATATTTCCCTGCCATTCTGCTGCCTGGCTGGTTATTCCCCAGTTCTTCTACACACACCTCGTGTCGCTTTACATTTGCATTTGCTCTTGCTGAACTGCACCTTGCTGCTGCCAAACCATTTCTCCGGCACTCGAGGTCGTGCCCTCTGACCTCACATCGCCTGCACACCCCAAGATAATGGGATCCCTTCGGCAGGGTCTGCTGCTGTTCACGAGGGACCGATGCAGAACTGGGTGGCCCCTTCCTTCCCCTAAACTCTTCTCAGAGTTATCCCTGCTCTGTAGGTCTGCTGGCACGGCAGTGACTTAACCCTTGTAAGCTTTTCCAGTGGTGCTGATAACGATTTCACAGCTGCTGTGATTACGATCGAGAAACCTCAATGATCCCAGAGAGAAAGTCAGGGGATGCTATTCACCGAGTACATTTAGTCACCTAAATGAGGCTCAGGGATTAGGACGCTGGCTCCTGAGCTGCCCCCGCCAGCAGGGCACAGCCTGGGCTGGGACAGCAGGCTACCAGCTGGGATTCCTCCATCAGCCCCAGGCTGTCCATAAAAGCCCAGCTAAGGGCAGGCTGTGGCACAGCTCCAGACCTTCCTGCTGTGGATCAAACAGGATTTTCCTGCAGAAAAGTCGGGGCTAGCTTTGTGCAGACTGCCCAGCTCCCACCTGGACACCTGGCTTCCCGGTGCCATGCCCTGCCAACGCCGCCTGCTGTCACCCCTCGGCCGCTTGGGACTGCCAAATGCCGGAGGAGGGAATTCAGCTTATCTGCTGAATTTGGGGCAAGGACGTTTCTCCTTGAGGAAGGAGCTCCCTCCGTCCTGCCCTGAGCTACAACAGCTTGTAGAGCCCTTGCGGAGGGTTTGAAGGAGCCGCTGATGCCCGAAGGTGGTGGCCGGGTGCCGAGGCGGTCTGTGAGGTCTGCTCGGTGCGGGAGGAGCGTGGGTTTCCTCGGGACAGCGGGAATCCAACGGTCTGCTTCCTGGAAAGGAAGCGCCGTGTGGGGTTGCAGGGTTCAGAGGAAGTGTAGTGGTGTAGCGAGCAGATGGATGGTTCAATGGTTCAGCTGCCAGCCCCGAATTCACTGCCCCGCTCAGCCCTCTTCTCACCAGTGCCCTGCATTGCCTTTGGGGGCTGTGAGCTGCTCAGGTCATAGGGCCAAGGGTAGCGCAGCGGTGCCACAGGGTATTCTGAAGAGGGACACGGACACGGCTAAGGCTGAGCGGCCGTGACACTGGAGCCAGGCCAAGTGGCTTCCCCGAGCCACCAAGCCGGTAGCCAGCCCCACGTCCCTGTGCTGTCTGAGTGCCAGGGCTCGAAGGGGTGCCGGCAGTGCCCACACAAACCTGTGCTACGTGCCAAGTCTGCTCTCCTCTGTGTCACTGTGCTCAGTGCTGCCCCGAGGCTGCCAACCCGGAGCTCCCAACGCTTTGCCCTGATGACAAACGCATCTCAGGTGCCCTCGCTGATGTCCCACTGCGAACGCTGCTCACCACGTGAGGGGCACTCACACGGGGCTGTGAGGCACTGGCACAGGCTGCCCAGAGGAGCTGTGGCTGCCCCATCCCTGCAGGTGCTCAAGGCCAGGCTGGATGGGGCTTTGGGCAACCCGGGCTGCTGGGAGGTGTCCCTGCCCATGGCAGGGGGGTGGGACTGGGTGGGCTTTAAGGTCCCTTCCAGCCCAAACTGTTCTGTGCTTCTAAAGCGTGGGCTGCTGGGGCTGGAGGTGCAGCACCGGGCTGGGCAGCAGTTTGGGCTGCAGTATTCCTGGTCAGGAAGCAGAAGGAACTCCCACCAGTAAGTGGGAACTGGGAATTGCTGCTTCCTGCAGCGGTGAGTTACTGCTGTGCCAGAGCAGGGGAGGAATAAGGGGCCGTGCCCCAAGCTGGGTGCCCACAGCATGTTTCTATCTCCCCATAGTCCTGCCTTCTGCTGCCAGCTGTGATGGAAGGGGCTAGAGGAGAGCAGCAGGGAGCCAGACCTGTACACGACAGGCTTGTGGAGTACGGGCATGCTCATGCTGAGGTGTGGAGTGAGAATTATGCCTCAGGCTTAGCTGTTGGCCCCGCAGGGCCATTACAATCTACCAAAACCAGTCCAAACGTTCTTCCATCCCAAGCCTTTCTGCTTAGGTGGGCCTTGGTCACCGCACATACACAAGGCACTGGTGCCTGCTGAGGGTGCTGGTCTCCTCCTGGGACATGCTGGGGGTGGTGGGACGGGGCAGGTGGGCTGCAGGATGGGGAAGGTTCCCAGGGACTTCCCAAAGGGGCCGGGGTGGTGCCGGACCAGCCGGGGCACACCGCTCCTCCGACCCCTGGAGTTTCTGGGGCTCCCGGCACCACCTCCTCCGCGCTGCCCTCCTTTGAGGGTCCCGCTTTCCCAGCCAGGGCCGGGGCTTTTCTTCCCTTTACATCTCTGCTGTTTGTCTCGGAGAAAACCCATCTCGCTGTTTTTCTACCGCTTGAAGGTGTTTTTCGGGGGTTTTTCAGGCTATTTTGAAGCTCGTTTTTCCCAGATGTGCTTTTTTTTTTTTTTTTTCTGCTTTTTTTTTTTTTCTTCTTCTTCTTCTTCTGTAACTTTTCTTCTTCGCCTTAAAGTTTCCGGCCACGTGACTTTCAGCTTACATCCCCTAGGTTCTGAGAAACCACAGGAGGCCTGAGACCTAAAGGGAAGGTGCAGAGCTCTGAGCGGAGAGCAGAGAAAGTAGCAGAGCGCGGGGCAGGAGGACAGCGTGCCTCCGGGACGGGCTCACGCAGGGAGGCCAGCCAGCATCCCAGGGCAGGCAGAGGAGGACAGGGGGCAAAGCAAAGGGAGAAAGAGAGAAGCCGGGCACACCGTGAGCATAAAGGAAGCTGAAGAGGCCCTGGGAGCCAGAGACGGGAGCCATGCCCCACAGCTCCGACAGCAGCGACTCCAGCAGCTCCAGCCAGTCTCCCCCTCCCAGCAAGCAGGTGAGCAGGGAGCCTTCCCCAGCCCTCCCCTGCTGGCCTCCAGGGAGGGCAGGTGGCCCTGGGTGGCCGGGAGGAAGTGTACCAGCCCGGCATCTGCACCGTGAGCCGTGCTGGGGCTTTCTAGGAACGGTGACGGGGAGAGCGGGATGCGGGGCTGAGCCGGGAGCAGCGCCTGCCAAGCAGAGAGGGAGCCCCGAGGGCTGGGGCTGAGTCAAGGGCAAGACGAGGGGGTGCCGGGACCCCTGGGCACCGTGGGCCCTGTGCTGGGTGCTGGGTGGGAGGCGGTGAGCAGGGTGCTGGTGCTTTGGGGAGTCCGGCCTCGCTGGAGCAGGTGGCTCCGGGGGACCTGCCTGCTTCCCCCTGCCCCGCACAGCGCTCAGGGACCGGGAAAAGCCCCGCTGCTAACAGAAATCCCATCGCCTTTCTGGCCCAGCTTTATTATAGAGATCATTTCCCGTCTGCCTAGGGCTGGCACCACCAGCACCTACCCCCGATTTTGCTCAGGAATCTCAGGGAGGATCAGAGCAGGGGATTTGGGGCGTGCAGCCCACGATGGGGATGCCTCCTGGTGGAGAAGGGGATGGAGCACAGAGGCTGCTAAGGACCGGGCTTGGTGCAGGGCTTGGGAGCTGCTGCATCTGAGGAGCTGGCAGGGCAACGAAGGCAAGGATAAAACGGTTAAGTTCAAAGAAGAGAAAAGATCTTGGGCGGGGTGGAGGGGGGAGAGGATGTGGACAGACTGATGGGCTGGGAAGATAACTTTTGTGGCTGAGTTTCGTAGTCCTGTGGGGGAGCAGTGATGTGAATGTTAGAGAGTCCACAAAAGAGGCAGTACCATATGAAAATAGAAGATGAAAGGGTCTGTGTGACGGTTTTAACTGTCAGGAGGCAGCAGCAGGACCAGATCTGAGCAGAGAAGGGAGCTGCACGGAGCTCGTGACCTGGCGCCGGGAAACCCAGCTCCCCTCTGCCCGAGGGGCTTTAGAGATGCTTCAGACACTGCCGAGGGGCTGAGAAAAGAGCAAGCACAGAGACAGGAGAGCTGCAGCAAAGGAGGGCTGGGGAAAAGGCAAAAGCTTGGAGCCTGCCTAGTTAAGCATGCAGTGTCTTAGGGAGCTGTGCCACACCGTAAGGGTCTGCAAAACCCTTAAAGGCTGAGGGAGAGGGGTGATGGGCAGGGGTTGGGATCTGATGGGATGGAAGGAGGAAAGCACAGGCTGAACCTCTGGTAAGGTGCTTTAGCCAAGGAGCTGGAAGGACTGCAGTGCTGTATCCCTGCAGGGAAACGGGGAACAAAGAGGTTTTGCGGGCAAGGAATTCAATTTGTCTCTCTTCTGGAGAGAGGTCCTTGCCCTGGTCCCTCAAGCCACATCCCGGGCAAGCCACATCTTGGTGAAGGGGCAGGGTCATCAAACAGCTGTGCCAGGACGGTTTGGGGATCAGCTCTGTCCCTCCTGGCATCTGGGATGCCAAGAGCATCACCTGTCCCTGGGGCAGGGCTTTAGCTCAGTGCTGGAGAGATGTGTCCCATGTCCCGTGCTTCAGCAATGTTATCTGCGGTGTCCCCTTCCCCACCTCCTGCCCAGCAGGAGCGGGGAGAGAACATCGCACTCATTTCCATGCCTCGTGTTTCCCTAGGACTCTTCCGATGACATGAGGAAAGTCCAGAGGAGGGAGAAGAACCGCATTGCTGCCCAGAAGAGCCGCCTGCGGCAGACCCAGAAAGCAGACACGCTGCACTTGGTGAGCGCTCCCGTCCTTCCCCGTCCCCGGCGCTGAGGGCTCACCCCGGGGACAACGTGCTTGCACCCTGGGGACCTGGAGAAGTGCTCAGTGGGGGCAGGGCAGGAACAGGGGGGCCAGGGCAGGATGTTGGTGGCAGTGCCATCGCTGAGAGCACACAGCCCCAGCGCGGGCAGGTTTTCTCCACCCAGATGCCCAGGCACAGTCCTCCTTCAGCAGGTCCAGAGCGAAATCCTCCTGTTCATCCACTAAACGTCATGGTGACTTGCTCTGTGTCACCAGTACCTTTCCCCCCATCCCCATGGGTGTCCTTGCTGGCAGACACAGGTCTGCTGCCAGGATTCATGCCTGGCAGGTCCTGTCGTCACCGCCCGTCAGAAAGGGGGATTGCCACCGAAGCCCTCAGTTTAGCAGGCGGTTTAGCATCAAGAACAAGACTGATCTCTCAGTCTGACATTACCAATTTCCTCTCCAAGCCTCTCCTGACAGGCTCAGGCAGAAGCTCTTCAAACGTGTGGGCTCGCCTGGGCTGGTGCTCCCTGGGTTTGTGCTTCACGCCGTCACTCACAGCAATGCCACGGTGCACAGGGACACCCCTCTGAGACGGTGGCACTTTGTGTCCCTTGCTATGGAGAGTGCTGCCCTGCAGAACCAAACGGGCTTTGCCCCTGATCTGTTTTCTGAGGCACCACACCGTGGAGATAGATAAATATTAATCAGTTTATAATATTGAAGATGTCCCTATGGCAGGACTCGCATCCCTTCCTACCTCTGAGCACTGTGCAGTGCCTGGGGGCTGTTCCTCTTGCCCAGCATGGATTTTCCCTGCTCTGGTTTCACTCTCCCTGTCCTGTTCTCCTCCTATGGTACCCTGGTGGCTCTTCCCAGCGTGAGGCTGCATTTCGGGAGGGATGGCCACTTCTTGCTGTGTGTGTGTGGGCGGTGTCAGAGCACAGGGGTGCTTTGTGTTCGTGTGCTTTGCATTTCGGTAGGCGCAATCCCATGCGTTTTGGGCCGTTGGTGAGCAGGATGCAGAACGTGCAGAGACCATCTGTGTCCCTGCCCAGGGCTTGGCTGCCCCTTCAAATGTGATAGGCTGGTCTTCAAAAAAACACCCTTTGACTTAGGAGTCTTTGTATTCCCCAAATCCCCATTTTTGGGACGGATTCTTGATAAGTTGGTCCTGAGCCTTTCCCTTTTCATCACGCCCTCAGTCCATGCTGGCAGTGGGTTTCCGATGGACATTTCACTGTTTCCTGAGCAGCTGCTGGTGCTGCTAGAGCAGGCACGGCTCTGGGCCGACTGTTAGGTCTGTCAGCAGCGATGGCTCTGGGAGACCGTGCCTGAGAGGGATGGAGGGAGAGCCTTTCCTCAGGGCTGGTGCTCTGTCCAAGGCCAAACTAGAGGTGGATTTGAACTCTTCCCTCAGGAAAATCCTGACTTGCTGTGCTCCATGAGCTGCTCTTCTCAGGGCAGACAACAAACCACTTTGTTAAGAGATGTTATTAGGTGCTCAGATGCCACCAATAGCACAGATTCCTACCTTCCCCAGGGGCAGGGACACAATGGCAGAAGCATTAGGACCGTGCCTCTCGGGTGCAGTCCTGCCCAGAAAAGCCTGGGCTGTGGAGGTGTCGCAGCATCTCCACCTGCCCCAGGGCTCCCAGCTTGTGCTTTGAGGGGAATGAGTCAGCGGGAGGCTGGCCCGCGGGTGATTCCCGTCAGCTCCCGCGTTTGACGTCAGTCACGATTTCCAAAGCATTTTGTCGCGGCCCGGAGATGCTCGTTTGGTGCTGCAGCCGCGTTTTACCCTCTGCATAGAGAGCACGCGCCTCCAAAAGCCAGCATGGTGGCTGGAGAGGTGACAGCTTCGCTTTGCCAGGGACCTGCTGCAGCTCTCCAGGGCCTCGGAGCCTTGGGTCCTGCTTTTGGTTGAATTCGTGGAGCCCAGCACCGAGTCCTCCCTATCTCCTTTGGTCCTGCCCAGGCTACCAGAGCCTGGGATGCTCCAGCCTGGAGCTGGCTCCTCTGTGCAGCAAAGGCTGTGATTTTCTCCTCAAGGCAGGGCCGAGCATCACCATCAGACCCTTTGTTGTTATCCTCATTAACAGCAGCAATACTTCGGTTCTTCTCAGGCCTCGGTTTCTCTTTTCTTCTGACTCAAGCGTCTCCCCCTCCTCCCCGCCGGGCCGCTGGTTTCCCCGGCTGCTAGCAGGAAGCAGTGAGTCTTTTCTTTCCAGGGCAATGACAGGTTTCCTGTGGCAGGTGGTTTTCTGGTTAAAGACGGCGGTTATTCAGCGCGCCCTCCCCCCGGCCAGGCGGCCCGGGAAGCGGACGACGGCGTGCGTGTGCGTGAGAGGGAGCGAGAAAGCCTGGGCGGGCGCACACCCCAGTCACTTCTCGTAAGCTGGGGCCGGGGAGCGCGCCGGGGCCGCCAGCATCGCGCCCGCACCCGGCCGGCTGGAGGAGGGGGGTTTGCCCAGCCGCTGCTCGGGGCAGAATTTGCCGGAAACTTGTCATTTTGGAAACTGCTGGGCTGAGAGGTGCGGGGACGGGACCCCAGCTCCAGCACGGCCACCTCCTCCGCCCGCTCCCATCCTGCTGCAAGGAGGTGGGTCAGGGAGGGCCGCAGCTTGTGATGCTGTGGTGTGTCCTGATGTGGGGCAGCTCCTACAGACCCTACACACGATAACCAGGTACCACACTGCACCCCAGAGCCTCCCCACTCACACCTACAGCTGAGGAACCCCCCCTGTTTTTGTCTCCCCAGGAGAGCGAAGACCTGGAGAGGCAGAAACGCGGCCCTGCGCCGGGAGATCCGGCAGCTGACGGAGGAGATGAAGCACTTCACCTCGGTGCTGAGCTCCCACGAACCGCTCTGCTCCATCCTGGCGTCGCCCCCGCCGCCGCCCCCAGAGGTGCTTTACGCCACGCACTCCTTCCACCAGCCCCACATCAGCTCCCCGCGCTTCCAGCACTGAGCGGCCAAGAAGCAACCTCGTGGGGCTCGCTTTTCCATCCGGAGAGGGACAGACAGACAGACAGACGGCCCTTCTCACAGCGTGTATGTACTCTGAGTGACTTTGTCCAAGACTTGTTCCCCGTGCAGAAACGGCAGGGCCACCAGGAGGCATCTTCGGGCAGTTTCCAGCTTGGATCCTGGGAAGAGGAGCATTCGCAAAAGGGCACCAACCCCTTCCCCGGTGCTTGCTTGGGGACCCCGCGGGAGCGTGGGCACGGGCAGCCCCCGTGCGAGCTGCGGCGGGAGCAGTGGGAGCTCCGGGCAGAGGAACAGAAGCAGGGGCAGAGGGGAAGGTGGGGGGCCATAGAGTACCAGGGCAAAACTGGTTTATTTTTGTAAAATAAAGAATGAAAATGCTGCGCGCTTTGTTTTTCAACAGGCCCTGCGTGGCACGGCGGGAGCGGGGCGGTGGCAGGGGAGAGCGGGGAGTTCAGGGAACAGCCCTATGTCTGCTGATGTCTCATCTGCCTCATTTCTGAGCAGCAGGGACCTGTGGGGTGGCCTGGGGGCTGCAAAGCAGCGTGGCCTGGGAAGGAGCACGGCAGTAGGGATGGGGGCGGTGGTGCTGTGCTGGACGGGATGGGGAAGTGGGGCCTCACCCTTTAGCGGGACCTCACTCCTGCTCTGGCTAGCAGCACCAGCCCCTGCACGAGGCTGAAGCCTCCTTGCCAGTGCAGGTCCTGTTGCTAATATTGGTTCAGGACTGCTGGCCTCGCCAAGGAGCATCAGCTGCCATTTTTTCAGGAAAAGGTACCAGAAGCAGGCTTTTAACTGAGGAACTGAGCTAAATGGCCTCAGTTTCTACATACCCTTCTTTCAGGCAAGGAGAAGGGGCATATTTCCAGGTGGGTTTAGACCCATCAGTCTAGCCCCGAGAGCAATCAGGAAAAGCCTTTAGTGTGCTGTGCTGTGCCTGTTTTCACCAGCGGGGTGGTAACAAAGCCATGTCGTGCCTGAGGGAGCCATCCTCAGGAGAGGTGCAGGAAGCACAGCCATTTCTCCTGCCGTGGCCTCTGAAGAGGTTTGAGAACCTCCTGCCTCCAGCTGGAGAGACAGCATGGGAAGCACCATGGCTGGGGACGCCTGGGTGGGTGTCAGCTCATCAGCCCGGCTGTCAGCACCCTACAGAAGCAGTGCTGGCACAGGGGAGATCATGCTGGGATGCTCTCACACAGGAGAGGGTGGTGGCAGCAGGGGTATAAGACACCCAGACTGCACCTACAGGCTCCATGTTTGAAAAAACAAAGCCTCAGGAGCCACTTCAGTGCCTTGCACCCCCTCTCTCTGCTAGATCTCACACCAGGAGGCTTCATGCCATCTATTCACGCAGCAGCCAGAGCTGCTGGTCTCCTGCATGGGCCTTGCTTGGAGCCACCCAGGCTACACAGGCCCTTTCCAAACTGCATTTCTCAGGGATTTGGACCTTTAAGCCTGGCAGTTATGACCATCCTGAGCTCTACAGGGGTTTACGAGGCTCCACTTCTTCTCCTTCAGCTTCCAGTGGGTTTGCTCCTGGATTTTTCCCTTGCTCTGGTGCACTTGTGCTTGCTGGGTGATGCAGAACCAGAGAAAAGAGCTCCTGCTGCCTCGCTTGGGGTTGCTGTGCAGGGCACCATAGGCTCTCCCTCCTCACTGGAGGGTGCAGCACAGCACCAGCAAAGCCTGCACTGACTTACGATGCAGCATCACTGACAACAATGTGAAACCACCATCCCTGCTGCCAGCCGTTGTGCTTTCCGTGGCTATTAGAGGCGAAGCTTGGTTTTAGCTGCAGATGGAGACGGTCCAAGGCTGATGCACAGGTACCACGCAGACACAAAGGCACTATTTTTGTTGCAGAGCTGTCAAGGTCTGAGATGCTGCAGGCTGGGTGGGGTTCTCTGAAATGCCCACAGAATTGCTAGACTACTCACTGGTAACGTCTCAGACTTCTTACTGCAACTCAGAACGAAAATAAGTGGTAAGTGGTGAGACTGGGAGACGGGTGTGCAACAACATCCTCCCCAGAACCTAAACAATAGTCCTGGCATCATCAGCCAGGGTGCCCTTCCCCTGCATGGCCGCGAGCTGGAAGGCCTCCAGGCAGCTCTGTGCTCGGCCGCTTCGGCCACGCACTCGGCATTGGCGCTAGGCCAAGCAACTTCCAATCTGACTTGTCTTTTCCCCGGTCTTCATCACAGGAGATGATTTACATGGTTCAAGCGGTTTTTGACCTCTCTACTCTTGCTGGTTATTCTTAGGTGTCTCAGAGGCTGTCTTGCTGTGTTGTGAGGAGTGGGTCCCCTAGGAGACAGGCCCGAGCACCCAAACACTGGGGACAGCACATCCGCTCAGGGCCACCGCGCTTTCTGCCAGTAGATGATAAAAAGGTTGCCCTGAGGCTATGCTGCACAAGCTGCTTGTTCAGGCAACGTGAGGAGATCCCATCACTGCTGTACCTCTGCTGCTTCTTGCTCCTCTTTCCCAGGCTCCTGGGCCCGAATAGTTTTGATCCCTGTCCTCCAGCATGGCCCTCACTGTTGTCACCAAATGGGCTGTTAACAAACTCAAATGAGGAGTGAAGGACAGGGTGGTGGCCCGGCAGGGCAGTCATCTTCCATTGCTTTGATTGCAATTCTCTTTGAATTTCATCTCAGCGGCATCTTGCACTTCTAAAGGGCCTTGGGAGCACTTCGTGGCCATGCCCAGCCTCCAGGGGCACGGTGCTGCTCCCGGGAAGGTGACATGGGCACAGAAATGGGGTGCCACTGGGCCTGTTCCCATCCAGGCAGGCTGCAGCCATGTGTCGGTGCCTTTCTGCTGCACCACGTTGTCCCTCATTTAGGTAAGAGCTCTCTCAAAGCAGCGATGAGAGCTTGCAGCAGGCAGAGAGGCTCCTTTTGAGTGGAGGAAGGCCAAGTGGAAAGATTGCTCTTTGCTGTCACAGCCTGCCGAAATGCTGCGTTTGTGCTGGCCTCTGCTGGGCACAGGCTGAGCTCTCACAGCCCAGAAACCTTTCTGGTTGCACTCCCGTATGGCACAGTGTCTCTGAGTTCAGCCTGGCTGATACCAGACCCCGTGGAAAAAATGGGGAGGATCAAGGTTAACGTGTGTGAAGGCTCCTGCTGAGAGACGGTCAGGTCCCGAGACATTTGGGGGCTGAGAGAGCAGGGAGGGCAGGGAGGAGGTGGCAGCCACTGTGGATGCCCTTCAAGCCTTAGCAAAAGCTGTCTCCAAATTTATGTACTGCCCAGTGTCTCCTCTGCAGCAGGACGAAACAGAGGCACAGAGCTGCTGACACAGCCAGAAGCTGCAGAGGGGAGCAGGAGGACACGAGAGCTGTGTTTTCCCTTATGTCCTTCACGGAACCTCGGTACCTCCCACAGACCACGGCGCTCAGGCGACTCCGCAGAAGGGCAGCAAGTCACGAAATACAGAAGGTGCACTCATTTTCTTCCTTTCCATCTCCCTGAAAAGCACGTACTCAGCACTTCACAAGGATTCAGGCTCAGCATTTCAGGGCTGCTTCTACAGTAAGATAAATAAAGATATGACACCCGGTGCTGACGTAAGCCTAATGTACCTCCCCAGCTGGGAAGCCCTGGGCACTATTTATGCCTGGTATTCCCTTTCTGCTTCATCCTCCCCAGCTCAGCTGCAGGTTCCTGATGCGCTCAGTGTCAAGGTAGGGAGAAACACAGCCAGCCCACGGGAAAGTACATTCCTCCTATTGTATAGGGCTGTTATGGTCCCAGCTGTCACCACTGTGATGTCCTCCCTCCAAATTTATGCAGGTCAATTTGTTCAGTTTTCTCTCTCAAGAGGAGAAAAAGGGATAATACACAAGTACAGCATGCAAGGAGCCAGAAGAGAAGTTGAGGCCTATGTCTTAATTTGGCAAAGGACAGACTGAGCACCCCTGCTGCCCACTTTGCTGTGGCTCCAGAGTATTTATACACTCCTTTTGCAAAGCCTGTCCCAGAAGTCACTTCTCCTAGTGCTGCCAGCCCACATCAGCAAGAGGATCATCTCCTGCATGCTGAACCGAAGCAACAGCCCACAAAAGAGACCCTCCCTCTGTCTCTTAGAATGAGCACAGTGTCCAAAGCAGCACTTGTACAAGAATACTGTCCGGGTGCTGATAGTTCAGAGTTCAAACAAGATCAGGAATCACTGCTGAGAAACAAATCAAAAGCTGGCAAGGAGAGAGAAAGCAAATGTGGTGCAAAATAGTGAGATTTTCTCCTAGAAAACAGCATGGTGCTTGTGTGGTCTGCGTCCTTGCTCTGCCGTGTTGTTGCCACCTTGTTTATTAATGCTCTGGATGGGATCTGAGCAGGGAAGCAGCAACATTTATATACATGAGGTTGTATCAAAATCAGGTTAATCATAAGGTTTATGAGGTTAATCAAAAGCCTACCAAACTAAGCCGTAGGCAATGCATATTTATTTCCTGCCAGAGCAGGGTCAGAAGCAGTGTGTTAAGGTTCCTACATAACATCATTTTTCTTGAAGCTGATATTGCAGATGCCAGCTGCTGAGACTCTTACCACTTCAGAGACATCCACGCAGAACAAGGGGCGTTCCTCCCAGCCCCTGCACCAATTCTTTACTCTCTCCTGAGCCCCAGTGATGGTACCCTGGTGCCCAGTACTTGTCCTGGGTTTCTCCTTTTTGCTGAAGTGAGAGTGGGAGGAAGAGGAGGAACATGCCTGAGTTCGGTACTGAGCCACATACATTTCCAGCACTCTTTAATTACGAATTCATTAATGCCAGCTGCAAGCATTAGGAGATGAAAACCTTTTTTTGTGTCATTGGCATGAACTGGTATGACTCACTGAGATCGAGGCTGGAGGATGCTGAGTAAGAAGGGTTTATATACTTCGAGAATTTGGCATTTGGGGTTAATCTGTGACCCTGATCAGGACTGGGGATGTAAATCTAGACTGTGGCTGAGTTTTGAGTCTAGCTGGCTCTTTTTTCACTTCTTTTATTCTGCACTGAGCAGAGAGGTGTTCATGCTCCATGTGCGTGCCTGGTGCACAGCAGAGAAGGGAGGTGGTTTTGCTCCAACGACAGAGCCAACAGAGACCGTGCGTGGCTGTCTCCACGGCCTTTCGCAGGAAAAAGCTGAGAGCTGGGCTTAGAAGCTGAAGCAGCACAGCCACACTAACCACAGCTGCACACTTCTGGATGAGAGACTGGTTCTCATCCAGCCAGATCTGAGCACGGGGCAGAGCAAGTTGGTATCTGTCTGCAGAAGGCCATGCAGAGGTACCGTAACCGTCCTGTGTCTCAAGGGGTGTGTGCTAACCAACAACCGGCACATCTGAGGAACCAGAGCTCTAAGGGCTCTTCCACCCTGTACACTCCTCTTT